ACCCCACCCCCCCGAGCCCACACCTGACCATTCTCCCTGATCTCCTCCCATCCCCTACACCCTTGTCAGCCCTTTGGCCTTCTGGTTTCCACAGATTCAGCTAATTATGGCACCAAGGTGTCCATCCACGATCTTAGGGGTGTCTGAGAAGTGGTGTGAGGAAACGTCTGACTGCTGACTCCAGGGGCACCTGTTCCTGTGGGACCGGCAGGATTATGATGAAGCCCTTTTAGGTTATATTCTTGGGGCCTCTTCCTGTGGATGAAGTTTCAGGGGTGCCATGGGAAGAGAGCATACAGGTTAAGGGGAGGAATGTCTGTGTGCCTGGCTAACTGGCCAAGCCCATTGCTGTTGAGTTGATTCTGACTTCTAACAACCTGGGAGGACAGCGTAGATATACCCTGTAGGGTATCAAAGGGTACTTGATGTAACAGATCGTGGGTTCAAACCTCTGACCTATCAGTTCGTAGCCAAGCCCTTGATCATTGTGACACTAAGGTTCTCCTGATATCCACTCATCCCCAGTAGTGAGCTGTTCTCTCTCTAATCCCCAAGAGCTGGCCTCAACCCAGGACCCAGGATCTTTCTGCCCAGATGGAGGAATAGGGTTTCCCCCTCCATCCTCATTTCTGATCCCAAGACCTTCTAGAATAGCTCTCTCTCTGGTTCAAGAACAACCTTATAACGTTCCAATTCAACCTCTGGTTGGAACTTTGAGCAAAGTAAAAAGCAGACCTGGTAAGTGGCAAAACCCACGCTGTTGGGCACAGGATGCTACAGACACTCAAATGATGTCCCTCAATTCCCAGGGAGGGTGGGATGATTGGGGAGACCCCTGGGAGAGGTGACACCTCATTTTCCCAGTGTGTGGAAAAGTAGGAACAAGGGGAGGCAAGGAAGAATGAACTGAGGGGACAGTCTCAGCAGATGCTTGGAGACAAAGGAAACAGGTGTGTCCACGTGAGAGGGATAGTTGGGGCAAGGGAACAGGAGCCTTTGGGCCAGGTTCAGGAGCATGGTGGGGACCTTTGTCTTAGGCCATGGGGACCTAAACTGAGTAATGAGAGACTCAACTCATGCTCGCTTCTAGCTGACCCTCCATTGGGTTTTCAGAGGCTGTAAATCACGTGGGAGGTGACCTTTCTCCTGAGGAGCCACTGGTGGATTCAAACTGCAGAAGAGATAACCTCGTTTGGCTTAGTAGCACAGTTCCCCACTGATGGTCCCTACCATGACAGACGTCAGGGGCTTTTTGGGTTTTGGGGTTTTTTTTTTGTTTAAAAATCAGAGCCATCATTGTTCCATCTGCCAGATGGGACTCGATTCATCCCCTGTAGAGAATCGGACAAGTGACGCGACATGGCATCTGTGCATGTGGCTGTTAACCGAAGCCAGACTGCTCCTTAGAGGCAAGGATGGTGAGCTTCTGTCTCACATACTTTTGACATGTTTGCTGGAGGGGCCTGTCCCTGGAGAAGGACTCCATGTTTGGAAAAGTAAGGGGCAAGTGACAGGAAGACCCTCAAGAGAATCGATTGACACGGTAACTACAGCAATGGGCTCAAGTACGTCAGAGATTGAGAGGAGGGCCCAGAAGTGTTGCATTCTGCCATACATGGAGTCACCTGTGAGTTGGAGCTCCTCCCATGGCACCAAACAACAGGAGGAGCTCTGGTGGCGCAGTGCTTAAGCACTCAGCTGCCAACTGAACCGAGGGCGATTTGAACCCATCAGCCCCTCAGGAGAAAATGTCTATTTCCTTAAAGATTCTCTCACGCTCACTGCCATTCGTTGATTGCAATTCATAGCTGAACGGAATTCTGAAGCTGTAACCGGGAAAGGCTGTGTATCTTTTCCCCAAGGAGCTGCTGGTGGATTCGAACCAGTATTTTTACATCAGCAGAACTGCCAAACCACCAAAGCTCCCTTTCCATAAAGATTGTTGTTGTTGTTGATTGCTGTCGAGTTGAGCATGACTCATAACGACCCTACGAACCAAAGACCTGAACCCTTTCTATAACTATTGTCATTTATCAAAGTTCATAGTTTCCAGAGGCATGTTGTTTAGGAAGTGGATGTCACTACTGCTTCCTATGCTACGCCTCTGCTCTGTCTCTCTGGCTTGGTATTTAGTTGATGCAATTGATCTGGAGTTTTACCGCCTAGGAATTAGAGCTCTGGGGGGCTAGGTTGAAGCCAGTCCGGATACTAACAGAAAGGTGTGCAGTCTGAATCCACCAGCAGACCCTCAGGCTAAAGATGGACAGGCAAATCTCAACATTTGAAGGCTCGGAAACCGATGGAAACCGATGCCCAATTATTGTGATGGGTCTAAAATTACTTGATGGCAGTGGGTGTGGATCTGGGAATTGAGCCTATAGAAGGTGGACCAGTTAAGGAGGTGTCACTAGACTGTTCACTGGGGTGGAGGATGACCAGGAAACTGCTCCAGACTCCCTGTTTTCTGAGAAAGGCTCTCCTCTATGTTCCTACCAACTGGGACCAGACATTGAGATCCTATGAGCCGTAACCCAGGGGACCCCGTGGGCGGTCAGTTCACGGACGACACTAGGGTTTGTTTTTTTGGGGAGGTCTATTGGACAGTAAACATCACCCCT